ACTAGTGTAGGAACAATGACGATTCATGAGCTGTTAGCAAAATTCGATGAAATAAAATATTTCAATAGCTTTCCAGATTTAAAATTCATGTCCTTTAATCCTGTTTATTTTTAATGTTTTCGAAACTTATTCGAAATCAACACTACCATTGTCATTGATATACATTGAAGAAAAACACTTTTTTACACTTTCCCGTTCATATTTTGCTCCATCTAATCTGAAATATAAATGTAATTCTTGTAAAGAAATACGTGCATTGGGACTGATTTTGATTGTTTCAAACAATCCACGTAGTTCTTCATCCCTGAAGTGAAAAAAGGGAATAGGAGGTAAATCATATCAAACATATGTTACAGTTACATACTGTTGATGTGCTCTTCTAGAACTTATGAAAACAGACTATATCTCTATGAGTTTGGGCATTGCTTAGAATCTACTATGCTAGATTATCTTCAATGGTGGTAGACAGTGAAATTTGAAAATCGCTATGATAAAAGACCTTTAAGCTCAGTAATCTTTTATAGTTCTCTAAGTATGTAGTCAAACTAAGAACATTTGCCACTCAAAATAACTGTCAACCAACATCAAAGTCAGAATCTTCAATATGAACGTCAAGACAGTTCTATTGTACCGAGCTGAAAGTTCTAGAACTACCACAAACATCATCAAAAATGTACAAGTATTTATGGACGGTTGTCTACGTAAAATACTCAATGTCCGTTGGTTGGATACAATCAGCAACAGCATACTGTGGGAGAGAACAAACGAGGTTCCAGTTGAGGTAGAAATTAGGAAAAGATGTTTGAAGCGGATAAGACACACATTGCGGAAATCACCAAACTGTATCATGAGGCAAGTGACCACCTGGAATCCTGAAGGGAAATGAAAAAGAGGAAGTCCGAAGAACACACTGAGTTGTGTATTGTAATTAGACATGAAAAGGAGGGATAGCAGCTGGAAGGTACTGACTAGGACAGAGTTGGATGGAGCATGCTGGTGGGTGGCCTATGCTCCTCTATGAGGTGTAAGAGGTGTAAGTAAATAAGTAGGTATGTAAGCCAGAAATTCATAGCTCTGTTCTTTTTAATCAAGATCGCATGTTAAATATAAAAGGACTATAACTAATTTTTAAGACAAAAAGATGTTTAAGATTGCTCTGCTTACTGGCTCCATTATTTAGAAAATTATGTAATTATATTATCATATCAGAGAAGAAGATAAACAATAATAAATTGAAATTTCTCAGACGTGCATTGAAGTCTGCATTTTAAAATACCTATCAAAATAGTAATTCACCTAGTGATATTGGTTATTAACTACAAACATTCAGTGTATTACAAAATGTTTATGCATGATTATGCAAAGTAAACGAATAGAAACTTTAATCCTTATGATTTGAGGTAGCTACAACTGTTCAATAATTAATATAACATCAGTGCATAAAATAAAGTTAAAGGTCTTTTACTACTAAATGATAGTTTTTGAATAGTTTTAAAGAAGTTTTTAAATTGATTAATAAAGTTCTCCCCAATCTGATCAATTATTCCCTACTAAACTATTGATGAAACTTCAAATATTTTACCAACCAATATTTTGGTAACCGCTGAGATTAAAAACAATAGTTACGGAAAATGAACTTTAAGCAAAACATAACTTAAAAACAGTTTGAACCCACTTGGCTATATACACACAGTTTGGTAATGAAATTTTCATTGTAAAGATGTCTGTTGTTCTACGGCATGCGTAGGCATGAAACAACTTTAAAAATTTATACGAAATTTTGCCTAACACATACAAAATGGACAAATTTTTACAGACACCGAACAAAATTTTGTTGGAAAATAAACTAGATGTACATTAATATTCTTCACATAAATCTTGGTTGTTATAACATCGTGTAAGATGTACATCAATGGGCCGAGCTATCGAATCCACAGTCATTTGTTTCATGTTAGGTTTTACTAATAATGACCAAAACTGTCTCACTCCTAGTATATAGCAACATTAATAACTACTTTTACGGTTTTAAACGTTTCATGGAAAACAAACTTACAAAAGAAAGCAAGAAGAGGTTTGTTTGCAGAATAATATTATTGTATTTCGTCAGGTTCTCCTCATCTGCTTACACAACCTCCAATGTTTAAAAATTAAAATCATGAGATGTATTGAAAATATTCACAAAAACGAATTGAATTGAAACTTCTTGTGATCACACGTCAGCATAGTATAGCAAGGATGTTGATAAATTTAAGGAGCTAAATAAAAGCTGAAAATGTATACCGTATGTGAGAAAATATTCTACAACATGGATGATCACAAAAAGTGAAGAGCTAGACATAAGTGGTTATGTAGTGAACAAACACTAATGTTAAGTAGCAATAAAATAAGTAAATCTCAGCCAGTGGGAAATAAAGTTATTAAATGATAAAAGTATAGAAATGACAACTATGTGTTCATGCATGAGAAAGAGCTGAGGATGATTTTGTAACGTAACAAAATATAGTTTGTTACCGGGTGGTTGAAGATCAATAAATGTTTTGTTAGACATCAAAATTAGGTTTCTGACACCTGACAGCGATAGCCTTAGCATATTTTTATAATTAATGTTTGTTCACTACATAACCACTTATGTCTAGCTCTTCACTCTTTTGTGATCATCCATGTTGTAGAATATTTTCTCACATACGGTATACATTTTCAGCTTTTATTTAGCTCCTTAAATTTATCAACATCCTTGCTATACTATGCTGACGTGTGATCACAAGAAGTTTCAATTCAATTCGTTTTTGTGAATATTTTCAATACATCTCATGATTTTAATTTTTAAACATTGGAGGTTGTGTAAGCAGATGAGGAGAACCTGACGAAATACAGTCAAGTCATGTTATTTCGCTCAGGTCTTACTCTCCTTCAATAAAAATTGGAGCTAATTGCTTGAAATCGTCTGAAGCAGGGCAATCATACAGATAAATTACCCGTGACATACTAGGACAATTGAATGATTTGAAAATTTCAGATATCTGAAACAGTATTCATTCCAAAGGGAATGAGTAAAAGAGCGACTATCAAAAGAGCGAGTGAAAAAAGGTGAGCATTAATAAGGGTCACCATCAAAAAGGAGTGCATTAATAAATGCGACTATCAATAGGGAGCATATTAATAAAGCTTGTTAGATAATTCTAGGTTACGGAAAATGTAAAGGTCATAGATTTGATAACGATAGGTATTTGCGGTGAAAATGTAATGATATATAAAATAAACTTATATCTTTGATAGAATAATGAAAGACGGAGTTGATCTGAAAAATGTGATGTATTCGCACTCTAAATTTCGAACAATATGATCACACATATACTTGTCAAGGCATTTTTTACGGAAATTAATAAAGGTCAACTAAATGAAGGTTCAAGTGGAGATTGTATTATTTTCACAGTTGAATTCACGAGCCAATCTAAGCTAGACTGGATGGCTGTTCCCCCCTAGTGTGGGACTCCTCAGCCGTGTGCATCCACGATCCCTCACGTGGGACTCAAACACAAGACTCTCGGTCTCGCACGAGAACACTTAATTTCTAGACCATTGAGCCGGCATCTAACGGTGTTAATGTCTAACTTCAACGGATCCACGATATTCCGCGACCTTCCACCATTGTTGTCAGTGAGTAACTGCTTCACAACAGACACGATTGAACTCCACTGGTCACGGCTTTCCACTAGAACTCCAGTAAATCCATTTTGAAGCCAGTCACTAGTGAGCTTATGAGTTCGAAGGTCCACCTAACGAGTCTTCTCTCTCCCTCATTTGTCAACCAACCAGATGATAGAACAGTTTTCGCCTCTCTCTACCCGAGCAGTTAGTCTTAATTCGGACTTACTCATTTCTAGTCTCAAGGTTAAACCAGTTAGCCTATCGATCAAGGACTCAATCTAGACTGATGCAAGTTCTCTTTTTTATTTTTTGGGTAGACAGATCAAGGGCGTAACACTTTTTTGCACTGATTACCTATATTAAAATGCGTCCTTTTGAAAGTCGCTCTTGTTGATGCCAGTCTTTGTTAACGTAAGTCATTTATATCCGCCTTTATTTTCACCCACTCTCTCGCCCGCGCCCCTATCAGTTTGAACCTTTAAAACTATTCTAACTGAAGAGCTAGAATCCATTTATAACTAATAGGTACATATCAGTGTGTTTCTAATGTAAGAGGAGCTGTGGCCCTAAAGTGTTACGAAATATTCAATTTCTAATCCATATATCTGTTGTAGGTAAATCTCATAAACTGATTTGTCCTCATAAACGGTTTGTTACAACTACAACGAGAAATCTAAGAGATATATGCAGTGATCACTAGGTATCATAAATAATTGGGTTTTGGGTGGGAAACACGGCAAATAAAGTCAACTTGGTTGACCCCATGAAAACACACTCGTCGCTCTCAACTTATTATTAACGTGATCTGTGTTACGAAAACATTCAATAACATAAACGCCACTTTGAATGGCTAGATATTCTGTGGATTGTCTTCATACTTGAATGTGACCAAACAAAGCTCATGTCGTAGATCTGATTTAAACAGATGATCAAATGTGGAAACTTATTTGCTTATTTACCAAAAATTCAAACAGTATCTTTTTATTTGAGGGCTTAGGAAAACGTTTAGCATATATAACTGTAATATAGTAACTGTGCTCAGAGCGATACATGGAAAGTGATATTCATGTTATTGAGAAGCCTGAGATTTCTTGAAGCATCAACTAACTAATAATATATTCCAATGAAGTATTCCTAAAGCGCAAGAAACGTCTTAAACCAGAAACTTTAGTACGTCTATGACTATAGACTTTCTTCCATTATTTCGAGAACATGAATATATCTCATCTTTTTACACGGTAAAAATATAATTCGTCTAAATAATACTTTGAAACTTTAAAATGTTATCCTCTGTATATTGTGTAATCGAATGTTTACGCCCGTCACTTTTTGAAGAAAACAAAAGAATATATATTAAACATGTCTATATATGTTATATTAAGTAGATAACAGTTTTTTTTAAAAAAACGTAATTAAATATCTGAACTTTATGTATATAAGACTTTGTATTATTTATCGTGGCTTTAGATAACACACTTTGGAAATATCTAAATTTCCTGACAAAGCTTTAGTCAGTTCTTCCAAACTAATTTGACCATCCGAGTTGTCATCGATTTTCCCAACGAATTCCCTAACTTCCTTACTGTTAAATTTAGTAGAATTTGACCTCAGGTAAGCCTTAATTTCTCTTTGTGATACAAGACCATTATGATTCTTATCAAGTTTTCTGAATAAATCACTAATGTCGGCAATTCTAAAAAGAAAGATCAGAAAAAATATCATCACTTAGAATATGTAATTGGATGAAACGATCAAAAAACATTGATAACAAATTGATTTGCAATTAAAATTTTTTGTTCAATAGACAATATCTTAGTCCAGCTTTAGGATGATAAAACTGCAAGTTGTTGGTAATGGAAATAGCAAAAGATGGTAGGAAGCACCGAAGTGTGATTTTTAAAGTGCGTCGTGACGAACAACAGGCATCGGATGCGTTACAAAATCACACCCAGATAACCTCAGTGAAACTGAAAGTAATGGTGGCTGAAAACTTACATAAAAAGGATCGAAAACACATAAATTCCAATGACCTAGTTATCGAATATGATAGATACTCACCAAATGCTTTTGAAAAGCATGTAGTTGAGACGGATCATATAAATAATCTTAACTCATCCTTTATAGTATAGATGTAGTCTAGGTTGAATACTCACATTCATTGAAGCTGTATGCATAAAAAACTTCAAGTCCTTTTGTGTATCCCCCAGTAAGTTGCATATTTATCAACCTTACCCGTTTGTATCAATTGATTTCAGAGTGGTGTGATTTATACTGTTCTTGTTTATATTTGTTTCTTCCTATGTTCTCATTTACCTACTTTGATCTTTATTTTTTGTCTTGAGTTAATGAGTGATCAGAATGCACGAAATCCATTGTGCTAACTTAATCATTAAATTAACCTAGGAACGCGTGAACATAGTTTCGGATACGTAACGTAAGCATATTCAGTTTACTCATTTGTAGACGCTTGTCAACTTAGCTTTTAGTACGTTGCGCACTGTGATTTCAGACAACTCACTCAGAAACATCTAACTTAATCATCATTCATTTAGCTTAAATAGATGTTCCTCGTTGTGAAGTCAATCAGCTTGTATTTATTCAATATCCCTCCTCACAAGATTATTAAAAGTTAGCGAAAACTGTACAGTCTCTTTCTAATAGACTGATCAAATTTAAATAGAAAAAGGGTAGCATAGTAAGCTGTTTATCAGCCTAAAGCAAATATAAGATAAATGTTCTTCTGTGTAAGCAAGTTTGATCAAATTAGTCTTGGATACTATTTCAAGAGGTAATTTATTTTATGTACCGTACAGAGAAACAAAACAAGAAAGGTTGTTTAAGTTTTTTCATCTCCGAAACGATTCATGGCCCAACTAACAATTCGATATTCAATGGTAAAGATAATTCATACATTTAAATTATTCCTTGTGTGACTAAAACCTCTACAATTGCCAATCTAATTGATGATATCTGTCTTTAAATAGAATTATGTTAACATACAAGTTGTGCTCCATATTGAAAGTAAGGATCGTGGCATATCTAGTGTTTCACACCAATGTTAAATTCAAAAAGTGATTTCAAATGCTTAAATAACAATCGCAAAGGAAATAAAATAAAGTAAACGTCAAAACGTACGACATTGGACCTGAGAAAAGACTGTTCATTGCCTCGTATAAAGTTGAAAGCACCCAAGAATACTATTACTTCTAATCATTGTTAACTAACTATTTATACACCAGTTCAACCAGCTGATCAACGAGTGGGTCTGTATAAATCGTACTTTTTATCTATTTTCTAAAAATCTCAGTACACAAATTAGTTTACTTAATGGATTTTTTTCAAAAAACAATTTAAAATCTTGATAAGAAATGAATAAAGAGAAAATGTGATTTTGCATGATGTAATCACAATACTGGTGAAACATGAGATCTGAACCATTGATATGCTTTTTAAGAACAAAAATTATAATCTGTAGGTGATTTGCATTACTGACTGACATCTGTTTGGGTTACAGTGAACACCTAGAAGGACTTGACGGCTATTTTGTCCTCCTATGAACTCCTCGGCAGTGGAATCGCAACCCAATTATGGATTAAACCCAAAGGTATTTTGTCACATGGTATGTGTTTAAACTTTAGACCAATGAGTTAGAATCCAGTGGCTTGTGTTTACAACTTCAATTAATTCTCATTACTGTACGACAATCATCCTCTCTGATGTTAGACCATGACAAAATCCAACTATTAGTAAAGCTATTCTCCACATAGACTCTTAATCGTAATATAGGTGAGTGGTCGCTGGTGAACCATAATATTTCTAGCACATTCAATGAGCGTTTTATTTTATCACATATATGACCCACTACTGAAGACGTTTAATAGTATTTAATATAATTGTATAACAAACAAGATATACTCACTTATTTTTAATTTAACGTAAAAATCTTTGCCAGTTTTATTAATCTAATACCACCAACGAAACTCATGAATAACTTAACTACTAGATCACACTACGTCATTTTGTAAAACGACAACTTTCTTATTTCAGTTCTTAATGTGTGAATTTAATATTTCATTGTACATTGCACTAGATATTTTAAAGCTTTATAAGTTTGATATTGTAAGAGAACCAGTTCGATGTTGCAACGATTTATTATACGCTACTCACAAAATGTTAACATTTAACTAACAGAACACAGTGATTTGAATATTACAGCTGGAAAATTTCTTTGCTGGAATTTTAGACAACTAGCTTTAACACCTAAATGATAAGAGAACAATCAATATTCGACAATAGTTAGATGACGCAAATACCGAATTCATTACATTCTGATATGTTGGTCATGCATACTTCTTTAATGTAGTTTGAAATATTTTAACCGTTGTAACTAATTATTATTTTCGATACATAGTTTTAAAAAATAGGTTATTCGTCATTTATACAGACAAAATATCCTCATTCAAGTTGAGTGCAACTTATATCTTTGATCTATAACACTAGTTTTGAATTTTGGCAGTCTCCTTGATTGAACCAAGAAGGTAGTACATCACAAATGAGCCAGAAAATATTTTGTTTGAAAAGCTGAAATATTTTGACGAAACAAATTTATTATTATGTTTATACTAAAGGCATTTTCATTTAATAGTCTTAGTAAATCTATAAAATAGTTGATTAAATGTTTGAAATTAGACGATAATCAAATATTCATCTTCGTATTGTCCTGAAGTCTGTAGTACAGGATCTTCTTTGTGATGAAAATGCTTTCATAAATTCATGCAAACTTATTTGACCATCTCCACTTTCGTCAAGCTTACGAATGAATTCTTTGACTTCTTTATTTGTGACTCTCGCATCGTGTATTCTTAAATAAGATCTTAGTTCTTTAGCAGTCACGTATCCGTTGTGATTCTTATCCATGTGGTCAAACATAGTGCGCAGTTCTTGTTCTCTGTATATATAATAGAGAGACAAAACTGAAGTTAAATATCCTCCATTATATATTACAACATATAAAAACGTTTGTGACGAATCGAAATTATTCTGTTTAGAATAAACAGCAATGTAACTAAAAGTAAACGAAATACTTTACTCTTCATAAAAGTTTACGTCTCTATATGTAAACAACATGATATAAATGGTCATTATGTCTACACAATAATAATAATTTCAAATCTTATTAATGTTTTTAAGTGTTCTTAAAACTACCACTAACATATAAGTGTTTTAAAGTATAATGCTTGTAATTAAGCGTTAGTTGTTGCTAAAGAGTATTTAAAATGATTTAGTTAGAATTCTTTAGGAAATTTCTACAACTGTAATTGTAAATCTCTTATGACGAAATGATTTGTGGTGTGCCAAAAGACTATTATTGGTCAGATTATATTACAGGAGTCAAACATTTGTATTCTCCCAATGTCGTCTCTCCCATTGTAGAACTGACATATACATAAGAGATTTATAGTGAATAGCATTTTAATGTATAGGTTCTCATCTATTTCGAGTCAGACAAACTACATTACTCATAAGAAGTCTTCTCATTCTAATTATTCAAATCGCTGTCGTTTATCCCATGAAACCCAAGTTATATCAATATATCAAAGATCTTTTTACAAATCAAATCAAAACAGATATTCATCATTTTTTGATTTGCTAAAACGTATTGCTAGAGATGAAAATTCCCTATCAGAGGATTTATCGATAAATTGTTTTCTATTTTCTAGTTATAAAATAAACTGAGAGTACAAAAAAACAACAGTAGCTCTTTTCATGTACATCTAACCAGCCATAAGTTTGATATTAATTACCAGTCACTGCCACTGTATTCAAGATTTGTGTTTATGCAATAAAATCGTGAACCTATATTTTGCTATGAGCTCATATTATTTACTTCACAAATCATCCTTCTAAGATTAGGTGAATTGTAGAAATGTATTTTAAACTTATCTCAACCAATTAAACTTTTATCTAGTAAAATCCAACTGAAAATAACAAATCTATTTAATCATTTAAATTTAAAGGATTAATAAGAATATCTTAAATGGAACAAGAGTACTTTGCATAACGATTATATTTTAAAATAATCTAAGAAAATAGGAACTCTGAAACGATGGACAAAACTAGTTGAAACCAAATTCAAACATTGTCAAGTTGAAATGTTCAATATGTAAACATATAGCCAGAATAAAAAATAAATAAATAGGAAATTAAAGTTATGGCTTATACAAATTAAGGTAAAAAAGCATCTTTTATCGCGTACTTATGTGATCCAGTTAAAAAAATGATATTTCAGTATAACCGTTCAAAAATAATGTTCTGTAGTAATAGTTATGAAAAATAAGGGTGAAGAAAATAGACTATTTATTATTAAGAGTCGGTTTTTCATATATGATCCTCTTTTTAATGCTTAAATATAAAGTAAATCAGCACAGTCGCTAATATCCTACAATTGGGAAAATTTATAAGAATGATATATAATGAAGCAATTTGACTCCATAACACTATTAGATAAAAATTAGTGATAGCTCAATGATTTAACTATATTTTGTCGCTGAATCCTCCTATCTTCTGTTAATCTCAAAAATTCAATATATACACGGTTATGAAAGGTCGCTAAGGCTTCACAACTATTCTAAGAATGTAAAAGTTATTTTAAGTGAAAATCAAGTTAATTAGTAGTCATAATAGAAAATAATTTTAAAAACAAAACAACTTAAGGTTGTACGATTTTACAGCTTGATAATAAATTCGTTGTAAAGAGATCTCTTCGCTGAACTACGTGTTCTTAACTTAAGGTTAGATCATTTGAGGTTGGAGACAAACAACATTTGGTTTACATCTTCGAATTAGATTAATCAAACATTCATGTAAATGAGTGTAAACAACTTTGTATTACATCAACACTGACAGAACATTTATGAATTAAAAAAAAACATTTCAACATACGTCAGCTGACGATCCATGTTTGTACACGTTTTCTTCTTGAAAAATAAAGAGGGATTGTGTGGATTTTATACATGAAGATAGACAACTCGTATTTATAGCTCACACATACTCTAAACGTGACCATCTTTTATTGGCGTTTACATAAAGTGAAATTAATTATATTCACGCTAATTGTTTACTGTCATATGTGTTTGGTATAATGACTCATTTAAATCACTAAAGTGATGTAAATAAAACTTTACTTAAGTTTTAATGAAAATGAAAGTAATTACAGCATTGTGGTTCTATTTCTTGATTTATTTTTACATTATCAGTTGTTCCACATCTTTTGTAACTGGATTATTGACCAACATCTTTGTTTAGTTACAATAGATAGTTATCAGTTTTTTGGCCGAACATATTGTTTACGATGGAATTTCAGTAAACTATAAATATCATGGGCTGAAACTCACATGAGATATAGACATAAGTGCTGATTTTCTATATTTAAGGAAGTAAATCTTATTTTGATTAGCTTACTGGATTACACCATTACAGTGTTGCATCAGTTATATAAAAAAAACTACTTTATGATAAGTTCAAATAAACAGTTATGTATAACTTACAAATTTTATTTGGAATTAACTCCACTACTGTATATTTTTGTGAACGCTATTTTACATAAATAAAATATTTCTGTTCATTTTCTACAGTCTCTGTCCTTCTCCGTTTATTACAAGTAGATAACCTGTTCAGCTAAAGAAATATTCTCTATTATTTATCTACAGAATAAAAGAACAGGACAGAAGTTGAAGTGATTAGTAAAAAATGTAACTGTTAATCATCAATTTGTTTCAAAGACGAATTCTAGAGGTAATTTTAATGCATTTACATTAAACAAAATGTCAGTTTCCAAACACTTAATTTAATTTACTCTCGGAGGTCTATGTTATTAAACCATCAAGTGACAAAAATAAAGAAGCAATTTATCTGAAAATTACTAGGAAAAATCTACTTACAGTACGTATCTGTATTAATGATTACACTCAATGTTGTTGGTCGCTTGTCTGCTTTCAACAAGTATTGGAAAAACTTCTAGGTACGCTAGCAATGAGGTTATTAAAAGCCAAACTTCAGTTTTGTTTCTATTTGTATATGTATGTGACAGAATCATCTTTCTACATTTTGGAAGAAGTAAAAAAGCCATGACGAACAACGGAAACTATTTTTAAGAACACTGCTTCACTTAATTCAAAATCTGTAAAAAC